TTGTCTGTGCCTTTGGATCCAGCCATGCCTGAAGTCTACTCTTAGACAACTCAATTTAGAAGGCCATAAATACACTTTCCTGACTAACCTAGCATGAGTTAGATTTTTTTCACCTGCAATGACAGCGTGCTGACTAACCCTCTACCAGGAAGTATTTTCCTAGAAGGCAAAGACTATACGTTATTCATTTGCACCCGCTGTGGCAGCACACACAGGGTCTTGGAGATTAAAGGTACTCAGTCAATATGCTGTGTTGAACTCCCAGCTTGTCTTTAAGGTATTAGCCACATTGTGAACTTTGTGTGTGGGAGGAGAGGGAGACATGACCAAAAGGAGCATTTTCCGTGGCTGCTATGATGGCAGAAATAGAAATGAAACTTATGTATTAGGAACATTCCAGGGTGATGGTGGTTTGGAGCACGGTGACCCAAAGGCGAAGAAGATCCAGCCTTTTATTTCAGGTTCATTGATTTTAATCCACAACTTTAACAATGAAAGGAAAAGCAACACATATTTTCACTATTATGTGTGGGGTAGCAGCAGCGTTTTGTCTACCTGTAGATCTGTATAAATATTTATATTACATTTCCTTGCCAATTAACTAGTACTTGTTAATCCCTACTGAGATGTCATTCGCCCATCCACCAATACTTACTAATTGCCCAACATAATGCTAGGCACCTTGGGAGCTACAAAGATGAATAATACCTAGAGGCTGCCCAGCTTCTTAAATACCTATCACAGTAGCAGCCAACGCGGCTGCAGGAAGATAAACTTGTGTTGGGGGAAAAAGAAATCACACCATAAAGTTATGTAAGTTTCTATTTTAAAATCATCTGGTTCTAATTTACTAAATTTAATGCTTTAGAGCCAATGCCAAAGTGCTACATTTGATTTGTGGAAATACTTTAGCACATTTTTCCATCGTGCTCTTGTACAATATATTTACCACCCTTTTGTTATGGTTAGAAAGATTATGGACCTTAAAAAAAGCCCTCTTTATGAGCTTGCTGATATTTTGTCATAAAATGCCGTAAGATGGAATAAGTCTAGTAAACAATAATATTCACTTAGGAGCATTCCACATGGTTTAGTTTTTTTTTTTTTTTTCTTTTTCTTTTTAAATTTAACAAGGATATCCATCTGGAAAATGGATATTTAAAAACTTTCACTATGCCAAACCACTTCTTTTCAGGGCAGACAGTATTTTTTTTTTTTTGGGGTGGGGGAACGGGGAGGGATGGGGATGGATATTTAAATAGCAGTCATACTGTGCTATACTGCTAACACAATAGTAATGTTAATATCAAAGCATAAAAGGATGTCATGGACCCAGACTTCCAAGAGGGGGCTTATAGAACATTCCAGCAAAATGAACTGAATGTAAGATATCAACCTAAGTGCCATTTCCGTACTGGCTCGGGGCCTGGCATAGTGCAGCAGGGAAGAGGCACAACTTGCCTCAGGTTGAGGGAGTTCCTGGGCTGCTGCCATCTCTCTCGTCCTCCCTGACAGGCTCAGTCCACTGCTATCATGGGTTCCAGTGACAGGCAAAGGCAGATGGATCCCAGGTCCCAGGAATGAACCATCATGATGTGGTCCCCCAGGCCCCGGGCTTCACCAGTTACCTGGCAGGGCAGTACGGCCGCCTATTATGGAATAATCAAGATCTCTCTCCAGCATTTTTTGCTGAAGCCTCCGTGACAGACTGCGGTTTAGCCAATGAAGCCTGCCTTGAATTTTCACAGTGGCATTTAAAGTTCGAGTGTGGACCCATTTTGCTCCTGCTTTCGGGCTTTGCTCAGCTTACCAAAAATGAGAGGTTTTTCACTTCACACCCACAGTAAACAAGATGGCAGCCCGGGAAACTCCCCCTCTGCCTTGCAGCATTCTGTGTCCTTAAAACGAAGGAACCTCATTTGTTTCAAACAGAGCTTAGACATCTGTTACAAAGGAAAGGCTGCAAAGGCCGGGCCAGTCAACATGTTTCCTATGCAACAGGCTCTCTTTGCCTCCAGTTACGTGACTTAGGATGCAGGAGTTCAGACGCATCAGAATGAAGGATGTGTGACTGTTCATGGCTTCCGGGCTTCAGATGACTGTGTCCTGCAACCTCCTACATCAAGATAAGGGTTGCTTGTGAAGGGACATTCTAATGTGGCTCTTCCCTGCCCCGCCAAACAAGATTTGTGCTCCCAACTCCCTTGCCTAGAAGTCCAATCTTCCCATCTCCCCTTGAAAACACTGCAATATGAAATGAAAGTTTAAAACAGTAACCAAGTAAAGAGAGCATCATGATCTCTCCCTCCATCTGAATTCCTCTTTGGAATATCTCTTACTTTGGTCTTCCAGTCAATTCATTCCTCCCTGCATACTCAGCTCAAGTCTGTAAGTCTGTCCTCCTAAAATTGACTCCAGCCTCTCTAGATGAGTCCTTTTTCCTGAATATGCTTGAAGTCAGTTCTACTGGTTCAACACTGGGGTCATGGCGCCATTGTCTGCCATGTATGAATCCCTAATGGTGCTCCGCCTTTCATAACACTTGACCTTAGAAGTAGGCAATCCCCTATTTGACCCAAGCAATAGAAACTTGTTTATACTGGGATATAATTCACCTACATAAAATTCACAATTTTAAAGTGTACCCTTCAGTGTTTTATAGGATAGTCACAGAGTTACAGCAACATCATCACTATCTACTTCTAGAACGTTTTCATCGCTCCATAAAGAAACACCATGCCCAGCAGCCATCACTCCCCATTTCCCCCCATGCTCCCAGACCTCTGGCAAATAGTCATCTCATTTCTGTCTGGCAATAGCAATTTATAACTGACTTCATGCATTTTTATTTTAAGCCTGATTTCAAAGGCTAACACAAACATGAGATTGGCTGTTAACATTTTTGTATGTATTTCAAAAGATGACTTCAGTTGCATGAACACATGTATACATTTAACACATGCAAGGGAACATGGAGTGATAACAGCCAAAAAATGGTAATAAAATAGAAAAGAAAAGCAAAATTTGGGGTGTGTGTTGGTGAAGGCTTTTGGAAAGAAAGGAGAAAGAAGGTCCCATGAAGATGGGAGATTATTCCTTTGTAGGCTTTCCACTGGGACACATCTAGTTTTCAGATTATTTTGATTTAGGCCAGGTATATTATCTTCATTTTTAAGAGTTTTTTTAACTCATAAAGAGTTTTTTTAAAAGCCTCTTCATTTTAAAGAGTTTTTTTAACTCTTGAAAGACAATTTTTGGGATATAGAGCTGAAACTTTCAGGGTGCCATTTTTTTTCTATAAGATCTTCCCAAAAGAAACATTTAAAAAGATGATGTATATACCACTGCTTACTTAAAAAATATAAAAACAGTAGATTTGAGAAGGAAAAAAAAATAAAGAAATAAAGGACAGCCTTTACCATGTACAAGTCATGTGCCAGATACAGCTAAGTGCACCATCTCTTCTCCATAATGATGAATCAGGGAGGGGTTAGTAATCCTACATATGGAACCTGAACCTCAGGGAGTGACTGCCTTGCCCAGGATCACAGCAAAGATCTAACCAAGGCCCATCTGGCTTCAGACCTCATGCTTATAACCTTGTTATTGGTTTTGAACAACATTGCCGTTCTATATATTCTCAAACTGGTTCCCCAAAAGTATCCTAATGAGAAAATTGATGTTGTACAGAAAACAGCAATAGGCATTATTACATCTTCTGGTCTTGGAGAACAGCTGGACAGGGAAGCGGCTTGACTGTTCTGCTGGCTGTTCAGGGTCCTCCTGGCTTCTGTGGCCCTCCGTTCTTAATTGTAATATCAGAGCCTTTGACCTGACACATACCCAAGGCCAGGCGCATCCAGAATGGTCAAGTTCTGGTTGGCACTAAGCCCCCAGCACACCAGTGCTACCCTGATCTCACTTGGCTCTGGAAATTTGCACGATGGGAGACTGAGGCTCCACCTTGGCCCTGGAATGGCCATGCTACCTGCACATGGCTCTCCCTACAGTATTGGTCTCTGAGGACTTGGTGAAGTGTCAGCCGTCTCTTTTGCCAGCTACCTGCCCTCTCCTCCATCTGATCATTGAATAATGATGCTCTTCAGTCCCTGCCTTCTCCTTCTCTTCTCTCTCCCCAGCGTCCACAGTCATTCCAGCTATTCACCTGCCAATGACCCACTAGTTTTCATCCCCATGATGGGTAATTTTATATGTCAACATGACTGGGCTGCAGTGCCCACGTATTTGGTCAGACATTATTTTGGATATTTCTGTGAGGGTGTTTTGGGGTGAGATTTACATTTAAACCAATGAACTTTGAGTAAAGAAGATTGCCCTTCATAATGTTGGTGGGCCTCATCCAATCAGTTGAAGGCCTAAATAAAACAAATATATATTGAGTCCTATAGAGTTAAGTTTGACTGTGAGTAACAGAAAAACCATAGAAGAATGAGTTTAAAAAGACAGAAGTTAATTTTCTTCTTATTTATTAGAATTCCTGGGTTGGTTCAGATCTCTATAAAGTGTGTAGAGACCCAGGTTTCTCCTCCCTTGTGCTTTGAAATCCTCAGTACAAGGCCCAAGGCAGCTCAAATTCTAGACATCACTTCTAAATAGCATCTTCCAGCCAGCAGGAAAGAAGGAGGTGAAAAAAAAGTGCCTCCTCCCTGAAAGGTGCTCCTAGAATCTCCATTCTCTTCCCATTAGCTGGATCTTGGTCACATGGTCACAGCTAGTTGCAAGGGATGCTGGGAGGTGTAGTCTATATTCTAGGTGGTCATTTCATGACTAAGGAAGAGGACATTGGGTATCAGAGGATGACTGCTAGTATTGGCCACAAGTACCTACTGGGTAAATATGTACAGTAGATCCTCCATAACTGTTTGATAAATGTACATGTGCCAGGTTTTGTTTGCCTATTTGGATAGACCTCTGCTCATGGTAGGTAGTCATGCTAGGGCACTGGGTAATAGAGTGCATTTCCCTCTTTCTGCCTGCAGGTTATGTTCTGTTGGCTCGCGTGGGCTTCCTTCTAGCCCCTGTGTCTGGATCTGCCCTCCTGGTACACACATGGTGAGTGTGGAGATCATGGTGAAGGCACCCAGAGATTCCTGCCACAGGCAGGTCTTTTCCAGCTTTCTCCAACCCACAGCAGTGCCTGGACCATAGCTGTCTGGGTCCTGAAGTGGGCGGTGAGCCCCCTCGCTGCCTGTCACTTCACAGGAACAGATGTGCAAATGACTGGCTGTGGCCAAAGACGCAGTCAGACATCCACCCCAGGAGCACAAGTTCCAGAAAGAGGGAGGGAGAGAGAGGTTGAGACTAGAGGAGGAATGGGCCTCTGCTGGCCTTTCTCCCCACTGGCCCCTGTCCTTGGAGGTCAAAGTCAGTGTAAAGTCATAAAATTTTGTGAGATGCTGGCCTTGGGTGAGAGTTAGAGCCCCCATGACAAGCACAGTAGCCAAAGCCTAAATCTAATTTGACATACCATGAAAATGAGGCAATTGTATGTTGGCCTTGCTGGAATCCCCATGTCACCCTCCATTAATTTCTTTGTCAAGGTAGTTTCCAAAATCTCTTTTCCTCAGCATCATAAATGCTAGGGGAAAACATCCTCAAGTATTCTTAACACACCGCAGGGGAGAGAGGCTGCTAACTGCCCAGAATCACGTCCTGAATCTACCGAAGACACTTTTGCTGCCTGTCCTATGACCAGAGAGTTCTCTGGCGTCCCTTCGCTGGCATGCCATTCTCTGCTAACATTCATCCAGTGGGAATCGCTCCTCCCCAGGTCCCCAGGAGAGACCTGGAAGCTGAGTCCAGCCCTGGCTTTTGAGCTTGACAATGACTGTTCCTTTGGGATAAAGGAACTGGAAATGCACTGTGGGCACAGCGCCCCACATCCCATCTCTCATTCCGTTACACTTTGCCACTCTAGGATGTTTCGAAGTTCCCATTTGCAAATCAATTTAACAAGGTTCCAGTCTGAACCCACTGGTTAACACCATTAAAATGATCCTTCTTACTAGACTGGGGGAAAAAACTACACACCTGCAAATTCCTTACTACCTTTAATCATGAACTTTGAGCCAGTGTTCCATATTTTAATTTCTCTAGGTACTGGGCCTGTATTTTCCACCTATGAAAATGTCTCCAAAATTTTGCTGCTGTAAGGAGATTTAAGGAGATGATGGGGTATAGGATAAGTGACTGTTTAATTTGAGCTTTAAAGAAATATAACCTACAATGGAAAGAATACATCTTATCCTTTAAAAAATGTTGTTGTGTAAAAACTGGCTGGCTATTATTTCATTCTCTTGACCTTAATTCTCTCAACATGGAAAAGTCAGTTCAAATGTAACCAATATGGTCAATCCTATACTAACATTTCAGGAAAGATAGTGGTTACAGGAATCAGTAAAGGTGTTTTGCTGTAGGGGTGGTGGCAGTTTAGATTAAATCACCTTTATCTCTTGTCCTCTACTAATGAGATACCTATGGTGGAGACATTTCAGAGAGCTTAATATTAAACAGATATGGATACTGGAGTCCAGGCTGGTTAGGTGAGGAACATAAATCCATACTACAGAGGAAATTGACAACCTTCCCTGTGCGGAAGTTGTGTCCTGAGGCATCTTCCTCCATGATGGTCATGGTTTTCTCTCTCCTCTCTAACGTGGGCAGGACTCACATCAGGATCTCAGTTTTGGAGGTGAGAAAGCTGAGGCCCACTCATTATCTGTAGGAGTGATTTGACAAGGCGGCAGGGCAGTTCAGACCCGACTCCAGCTTTCCACGTTCCAATCCAGTTCCTCCCCCAACTAGGCTCTTTTCTAGTGACCCACGAAAGCTTCTGGCCTCAGACACGGTGCTCAACCACTTTAGGGGTTTAGGAACAGTGCTACAAGAGGAAAACAAAGCAAAACAAGGAGCAGGCAAGGTTTAGCTGGAGAATATGGTCCTTTCTCTGGTGTTTCTAAAAAGAAATGACCCTTTGTGTTCTAGCTGCCCTCAGAGTCTTTGACTAATTTCTCTGTGTCTCAGTGCCAGGGGTGGCTGAATGCTGGGGTCTCTGTGCTGCTTCATGTCTTGGCATGACTCTGTATGTGTGTTGCGGGGGGCAGATGGTGAGTGATGGGCAAAATTCTCCCCTCACCTCCTGCTTGCACTTCCCATCAATGCAAAAGCATATCTGGGTGCTTTCGCTCCACCTCGGGGTTGAAGGCTGTGTCGATTCCTGTCAAACACAGATTATATTTTGCTGTTCCATGTGAATCAGGGCTTGTGTTAATATCTTCTAGCTGGGCGCTGTGGTGCTCTCTCAGCTAGATCTTCATTTCACGTCTGTCCTGGGGCTCTTAGCTATGCCAGCGGAGCCCTCTGGAGAGCCGACGGGTGTTCTCATTTTCTATCAGCCTGAGCATGTCATGAACTTTCTGGCTCACTGGGAGTTGAGAATACAGATGAACATAAAAATTGAGAAAAGCTATTGGAGGCTCTAAGAGGATGCCAGTCAAGCAAAAGAATAGTAGGTTCCTATTGCAATATTGGAACCAGCTCTCACATCCCAATTTCATAGTAACTCATGTATTATCTCTGTTTATTTTGAATGCTTCAGCAAAATCTATGTTAATAGAATTCTTTATGGATCTGAGTAGGCTATCCATCCTTTAAACAAATTAACACTGCCCACAGCCACCTCCCATGCCTCCTGGAAACACCCCCTTCTATGGTCAAAGAAACCCTGTAGAGAGCAGAACAGAGCTTGTAGGAAATAGACATTTTAGGTCCATGTCACTTACACTATTGAGTTATATAGAGCCTTCTGCACAAGCAAAGCATTATTATCTTAATCAAAGCTGAAAATGACAAATAGAGGACAGAAACAAATTCCTAGCCTGTAGTTTCGTTTTCCCAGGAAAAAACAAAACAAAACAAAACAAAACAAAAAAAAAAAACTCTGTCTCTTAAATATAGGGTTTGTTTTTGAGTAAATTGGTTGTATGCCCCAGGGCCTAACTATTCTAAGAAAATACATATTTTACATATTCTAAAAATAAATAAATAAAAATTAGACACAGAGAAATGGAAGTGATAGGAATATATTTTTTTTTCTCCTAAACTTCAAACAAGAAATCATTCTTTTGGGAAAATTGAGCTTGAGCTAGATGTTTTTAATGCTTTTCCAGCAGTTGCTTAAGAACAAAACATTATCTTGTGCGGAACAGTAGGGGCGCGACAATGTTTAAGTATGTCTTAATGATCTAGGGGTCTTGCAAACATCTGAGTCATGAAGAAGTCAGGCCATAGTTTTTTAAGAACCTCTAGACAAGGATGAGGGTACCGTCAAAAGAAAACGCTTGGATTTTAGTCCTAACATGTTCCCATCTCTTTGGCACTTTCATGAATGTGCGCCGTCATTGAACTTACAAAACCTTGTCAAATCAAGCTGAGTTTCAACCCCCATTGATATAAAAGAGAAAGTATCACATTGCAGGATTGTAAAGGAGGAAAAGATATAATGAAATCAAGCAAGGTCTCCCTGCTTGTAGGAATCTGGCCTCCTCCACTGAGGTTGCGGGGAGTAAGTGTCCTGTAGCAGTTAATATTTCTGAAGGTAAAATTTGATCGGGGATATGTCTCATTCTTCACTTTTATTTCCTCTTACTTGAAAAGTCATATGTCTCCAGGAAAATGGCTGGAGAATATATACCTTTTCTTTCCCTGCACAACCCCGTGCCCTGGGACAAACTCATACTGCATGGGAATGAAAACCTGAACTTTATGCTAACTTATTTCAAATGTTCAAAACTGGTTTCCATGTTTAAATTTTACGGTGTTTTTTGAAATGTGAAATTTTAAGTGTGGGAAACTATGGTATCATTTTGGAATTTAAATCTTCTGTGGGAACATTATAAAAACTATTACCAAAGTCCATTCCTTCTTCTGGACATCACAGGCAGCAACACAAGTATGCTTTAATTGTGTATGTGAATGCAACATCAGGATTCTATAAAAAGAATAAAATAGATCCAGCATCCACCCTCTAAGACAATAATGACTCAGGCAGTGATATTACAGACATGCAGACAAACAAAGATACAGTGAGAAGGAATTACACACATCTGGTGATTTTGTACTTTTTTTTTTTAATGACTTGTCATTTGGAGTCACCAGCTTATGCTAAAAGCATGAAGTTACAGTTGTCAGATAAAATACAGGATGGCCAATTATATTTGAATTTCAGATAAACTATGAAGAACTTTTTAGTAAAAGGACATCCCATGAAATATTTGGGTTATATTTGTGCAAAAATGTAGTTGTTGTTTATCTGAAACTTGTTTTTTTTTTTTTGAGATGGAGTCTCACTCTGTCACCCAGGCTGGAGTGCAGTGGCGTGATCTCAGCTCACTGCAATGTCTGCCTCCCCGGTTCAAGCGATCCTTCTGCCTCAAACTCCCAAGTAGCTGGATTACAGGTGTGTGCCACCGTGCCTGGCTAATTTTTGTATTCTTAGTAGAGACAGGGTTTCACCATATTGGCCAGGCTGGTATTGAACTCCTTACCTCGTGATCTGCCCACCTCGGCCTCCCAAAGTGTGGCATTACAGGCGTGAGCCACCACGCCTGGCTGTTTATCTGAAACTGAAGCTTAAATATAACTGGGAGCCCTGTATTTTTAAATATTAATTATTTATATTTTTAAAATTTTATTTCAATAGTTTTGGGGGACAGGTTGTGATTCTTTAGTGGTGATTTCTGAGATTTTGCTGCACCTGTCACCCAAGCAGTGTACACTGTACTTAAAGCCCTGTATTTTTATTTGCTCGATCTGACCACCTTACATGCAGAGAAATAGTTACTGCCATGACAGCCATCTGGAGCAAGAGAAGAAATCCCACCGGGCCCCAGAGGTCGTGGTAACTTACTGCTAATTAGAAAACTCTCACAGCATTTCTAGCTTCTCTCTCCCCACAGAGAGAGACCCTCTTCCCAGCTACATTCTACATCCTCTCTTAGAAGTCGGAATGAGTGGAATGAAAGTGGCGTTGGTATCTTGGTGTGATCTTAGAA